GTCCGTTAGTGTAAAGTGTGTCGATGTCCTTGTCTTCGATGCGGTCTTGAGGTTTATTTCCGTGTCCTTTTTTTTCCCAAGTCTTTCTGTTTCGATAGCAGTGCCTCCTTCGTACCTGAAAACTCGAATCCGCTGATAACGCTTGTACCATATTTGTGTCTCTTTAGGTAACGTTCAAATGATCCAAGCATTCCACGCAAATAGCCTGGCTGGTATTCGGTACCGTTCTTCTGACGGACACAAATGAAACATTTTGCTAAATACCGATCCAGATCGTTTGGTGGTATTTCGTGAATTGGACGTGATTCATCTTCAGAAATTAACAACTTTCTCAACAAATTTACGTTACAGAGCGTTTTTTTTAAGTGTGCTTTTGTTTTCGTGCTCAGATACAAAATCTACGATGTTTTCGTCCTTCATTGGGACAAATCTCTTGCTTTCAGTTTCAGTTTCAGTACAGGTATCACTTGAGAGGGAGGTCTGCGGGGAAGTGACTTGTTGTGGGGGTGGGCAGGGTGCTGGAGGGAGAGCATTAGATCTAGTAACTGTGTCGTGGAACGAATCGAACAAGAATTGAAATTCTTCCGAGAATTCCTCGTCTGACATCCCTTTTACAAGTTCATGTTTTGAAGCCGTAACAATATCACCGGTGTCAAACATTTGGACTTTAAACATAAAATATGTTCCTATGGGGCGAAAAGTGTCAACTATTTTCCCAATTCTGCCATTTGCACCTACTCTCACCACACTTCCTACTTTGAAGTTCATGATTGGTACCAATTCTATTATCTTCAATTTGAATTTGCTTCAGGATACTAGCAGACGATGTTTGTTTACAATCCAGAAGTAGTTCCGGTCGAACTTCCGGTTTAGCACGAGGTAATCGGCACGAGACTATCTTCCCCTAGGGGGTGACAAGCTGATCTTTCCCGGCTAAAACGGGAGACACGACTGTGAATGGTGGGAGAAAATAATAATCCCTCCCTCTCAGCATTCCAAACATCACTTATTTACTTTCCCGGGATCTGCATCAGAGGTCAGGCACCCAGTGTACACAACCACGGATGTAGCACACCTTAGCCGGTGGCTAGACAGAGTACAGGGAAGACCCAATTAGGGATTACTTTACCAAAAGCCTGTTCCACCACAGAACTTTGTAAAATCAACCCAGGGATATAATCCTCTGGTTAAAACTCTATGGTTGACTTCATCTCATTGCACCAGCATTAATTACTTTACCAAATACTATTGCGGTAAATAGTACCAATATATAGTACTAGGTGTGAATTTTGTACCTATGCATCGTGTAAAGAAGTTATCACAATATATATATTTCAAATCTATGTTTTACAAAATGTGTCATTAGTTTTTTTAAATAGAAAATGAAGTAGTGTCAATCACTGATTACCCGAGTACACCAAGTTTTACAGGTAAATTTACCTGTTCGACTATAAACTCTATCCTGGTATTATTCTTTAATATCTGGGTTTGGCACTGAGAGATAATCTATTCGTGAGCTGTTAGCTTGAAATATCAACGCGTACGATGGTTACATGAGATTTTCAATAATGGCAGATAACATAACATACATTCAACGGTCGTGAGTATTTCATCATAATCAACTTGTTGAAAACATGCAATTTTACAAATGATATTACATAATATGCATTCAAGAATAGTCATGTATATATCACCATAGTCAACTAATGCAAACATACACTTGTATATCTGTCACAGCAGAGATAGCATATAGTCACAGTGCTTACTCAAACATAGCAAATGTCCCTGAGCCAGATACGCATATTCCTCTATACATATATAGTTTATCAGAATATTGTTACATCCCGTTTGGGGTGGGATTAGCGATTTGGAATTTCCAGTGACGACTGGCAAGAACCATAGAGAACACGTCACAGATGTCTCGTTTTCCAATCCAGCGTCTTATGCTGTTGACAACTTTCTTCAAGACCTTTTTACTTATAGAAGGTAATGATATGTGTATCAGTGATTTACACATTGACCAAAAGTCAAACAGACTCTACAAGTCTTTTATGCACTGAGACACCATTGGTGTGTTACAGTGTATAAAGGGTTGTAAACGATACAAGCTGTGTGAGAAAATTCGCCACAACAGGGAGCAGTTAACCTGTGACCTCATGATGTCGTATGCAGAAAAGGAAAACACGTGGCCATCTGGTTGTCATTTGAATAAGTCTTCAAACCGTTTTGTCACAACACACCGACCAAACATCGGTACTGTACCATTAACGATTTCGTTGTTTGTAAACTTCACTTCATGAAACTTTGTAAATATAGGAAAACACAAGCTGTCTTTGTAAAGTGTTATATATGCATATCATATATACATTAAAATCCTCGAGGTTCAAGCCTTTGTCTATACTTAAGAATACATGTAGAACAGGATTAAAACCCAACGTGCTCAACATTTCAATATTCAAACTCTTTTCTCCCTTAAGTCTTCCGACTATCGGGAACAGAGCTTATAACAGAAATCCTACAACACAATATTACAGCAACATAATACACGCAAAAGAAATTTGTTTATAAAAACACTTCTCCCACAATACTTTTTAAATGATGTTCTTATTAAAGCAACGATACATATACTAATAAAAGAGAGAAATGCACTAAGTTCCCCCATGCAGCACACCTAAACTGTAGGGAAATAATTGAATATTTGGATATGTATTACATCGAGAACGATTTCGACAATTTCTCGAAAACCTGCCCTAAAATCAGCCAAGCATGGCGATGTCATTTTCTGACTTTGTGAGCCTCTTTACACCAAATCACGCGGCGTGATCACGCCAAGCCTGATTGTTTCAAACGAATAATTTCAACCGATACTTCATACATTGGCATTTTGATTTCGCCATTGACCGAGATGCCACGCTTAAAGCAAACTCAGAGGGATTAAGCAATTGCGATGTTGATGAATGGTCATAGACAAGCTGCTGTCGCACTTAGTCTCTACATTACATGTATTGTCCGTAGACTTGGTGAACTTTTTTGTGTGCGTGATTTTTGGTTTTGTTATATTTTGACCCAGTTTGTCCTTTTGACTAGCTCTTCATTTGAAATGTTAATCTGAAGGGTAATATATCTCCCAGTTTTTCAAAGTTTCTGATATTGGTCGACGGGAAATTGGCATTTGTAATCCGGGAGTTTCGAATGAAATAGTAGTGCTGTAACCGGTTTCGTCATCATTGTCATCATCTTTCCATTCCACCATATCTTTGTCAATATTTCTATTGTTTGTTGTATGGCTAGATATTCCGTTCGATGAGTCTCCAGGATTCTTTGCCGTGCCACAAGAAATAACCGGAATATTTTGAACGGAGTGGAAGTTACGTCATCTTTTCTAAATACAACTTATTACTTAACCAACTCTGAGGAATGTTTACGTGTCTGAGAGCTGTCATAAAAGTGTTCGTACCCTCGGGATTGACGTGTTTCAGAGTTCTGTGCAGCGCGGCATTACCTATTAAGTCTACTGAACTCGAACCCGGAATCACTGATTACCCTTTACATCCGCATTCCCCCTTTTCGTTCCAACTGATGACGTCTTTCAATCGATTCATCAAGATTTCCTATTTAGAACGTGAAGTTTTCGGTACACTCTGTACGATTATATATATAGGTTTATCACTGTCGTGTCTGTATTGCCGGTATCTGGCCATGTACTCCTGGTTTGATTGTCTAACGTCATTATATCGTCTAACGGAAGATCGTCTCGATTTAAGATGTTTGACATATCACCGTCAATGTCTTTTCTTTCTCATCTTCCCTGGAACAGTCACCTCAAGAGTTTGGTTGCTAACGGTTAGATTATGTGTGTCCGTGCCTGAATGAAACATTCCCTTTAGACGATGTGCTTCCTTTATTTTAACGGCAGTCTCTTGAATTATTTACTGACCGACTTTTCGAAGTGTCACCCGTCTCTACTTTTGATTCGTCAATGGCACCCGACTTTGTAATATGTTTTGAAAGCACTCACAAATACAATAAAGGAGACCTACGTCGCCCTTTTTGAGGATCGATATACCCGTGACAAGTATTATTCTAGAAACGAGGACATGTTTCGAAAGTTTGAATATTCTCTCGATAGGCGGTTACCTTATATAAAATTTTAAGGGTATATTGATATTGTACGAGAAATATTTCGGTACGCAATCTGTGGTCAGGATGAGTATCTTGTTTCAGATCTATAAGCAAATAGGCGTGGGGTTTAGAAGTTGCGTCATCGTAAGCTTCTCGCAGAAGAGTGCTTCCTCCAAGAAACATCTGTTGAGACAGACGTCTTTACGAAGCGTCTTTAGAGTTTTTCGTCAATACGATACATTGGGCGTTACGACTGATGTTTCTGTGGTGTTGTTTTAAAAAAAAAATGTATGATGTATACCACGCTGACGTGTCTGTAATGACTTTTCTTCGTAATAAACAACGTCACGATTGCATCCACTTCCGTCATCTAAGACTATCAAGTGTGTGAGCGAAGCGTCCAAACGATCTAGATTAGGTCAATCTTTGTGGAAGTCAGGGAGATGGGTATTGTCGTTTGGATGTTTTCTTTGAGGCATATTACATGACTTAAATGGTGTTGGCTTTTAAAGAGACTTTACCAAAAGCACGCCGAGACAAATGATAGATGATAAGGAGTGAAAAACACACACCGTTGTTTGTTATGCTGCTTGATGTTAGATACATCGGAATAATCTGCATCCCACATGTAGTTAACGTTAATTAAAGGGGTTTCGACCCAAGCGATTTAGTTTCTCACTTCGAAAACTGTAGAGGTTCACTGTAGTAGCCAATTGACGTGATCGACTTATCTTATATTTAACCTTTATTGTTATGCTCTCAAACCTAAAAAGTATTTTCTTAGATAATCGTCTTGCTTCTTCATTTTTCACTACGACCGACAAAAACATACCCCTTATGCATTTGTTCTGTACTACTAATATTTTAATTTTTTGAAGAAATGATTCTGTTCTTTGTACTTCACACAAGTCTTTGGTAAATATTTCTAAAATCAATAATCTACCGGGACACTGCAAGATTGGAGAGCATGTAATCAAGCTGACAACAGATGAGCCAGTCAGGTCTAAGCCGTATCCAGTTCCTCATGCTATGAGGGAGACGGTAAATACAGAGGTCAAGACTATGTTGGAAATGGTGGTAATAGAGCCATAGACATCACCCTATGCATCATCCGTTTGTGTTGGTTAAGAAGTCTGACAACAGTATTAGGTTTTGTAAAGATTACAGACGTCTGAGCACACTAACAGTATTTGTTGTAGAGCCAATGCCTGATCCAGAGGAAATTTTCTCAAACATCTCAAGAAGTAAGTTTTTCACCAAGATTGATCTTAGCAAGGGATATTAGCAGATCAAAGTAAACCAGAGTGTAAGGAATACACAGCTTTTCTTACGCCGGATGGACTATATCAGTTCTTAGTTATGCCATTCGGACTGGTAAACGCTCCAGCAACATTCAATCGCATGATGAGAGTTCTCCTGAGAGGTATGAGAGACATTGACAGTTTCTTAGATGATATATTGATTCATACAGAGACCTGGAAAGTACATCTCGATAGGTTAAGGGAGTTATTTGAACGTCTACCAAAAGCTGGACTGACAGCTCGACCATCAAAGTGTATGGTTGGGTTCAACAATTTGGATTTTCTCGGACACTGAGTATGAAATGGTGAGTTACGTCCAAATCCAGGTAAGATTCGGGCAGTGCGGGAAGCACCCATACCAAAAACCAAGAAACAGGTGAGGTCATTTCTCGGACTAGTCAGTTATTATCGACGGTTTGTTCCCAACTTTTCAACTATAGCTTAGCCCTTGACAGATCTGACAAAGAAAGGACAGCCTAATCAAGTAGTTTGGAGAAGTGAACAGGAGCAGGCTTTTCAATCCTTGAAGTCATTGAAGTTGATTCAGGCCCCTGTGTTACACTAGCCGGACTGCCAGAAGACATTCATTCTCCGAACAGATGCGTCAAACGTAGGACTTGGAGCTGTTCTACTACAGGAATGGGAAACAGATAGTTATCCAATCGCTTATGCTCCATCCATACTTGTACGGACGGATGTTCGTGTTACAGACGGATCACCAGCCGCTGGTGTATATGAACAAAGCCAAGCTGCTGAACTAAAGGATCATGAGATGGACTTTGCTATGACAGGACTACCAATTCAGGATTGAATCTATCCACGGTGGAGACAATGTAGGTGCAGATTACCTTAGTCGACTGTCAGAGGTAAGTCAGTAGATTAGATCTTAGATCATCAGAAATCCAGAAGATGAGTAATAGATGGTCACCATTGTATATAGGACCTTCGTTCCAGTTTCACTTTTTGTTGTATGATAAATAAAAAAAAGTATTTTTATCTGAAGTTGTTTTTCGGTTTTAGCACGGTTAAAATTTACCAACCACTGTTTGGACCAGTCATTGACTTGACTAAGGTCGCTATTCAAATGCTGGCACAGACCTCTAGGAATCGATAAAAATGTACTAGGAGGTGTCGTCTGCGAATAATTTTATGATATCATTTTTATCTTAAACAATATCATTGATAAAAATTAAGAACAAAAGATGCCCGAGAATGGAGTCCTGGAGAACACCAGCTTTCCCTTAAGACCAATTTCATGCAAAGTCCCGATCAAATGCTTTGCTTATATCACAAAAAGACCATTCGTATTTCTTTAACAAGAAGTTGATAGGGGAATCGCCATGTCTAAATCCAGACTGATGAGCGGATAAGAGGGAATTGTCTTGCAGGAAATCATATTAACATGTTAAAAGACGCACTTTTCCATCAATTTAACAACTATAGATAATAAAAATATAGGCCTATAATTTGTTGAATTGCCTTGTTCTTTAAGTAAACGTGGTTTCACTAGATCTGGGCTAATAGCATTAGAACAATCAAGGTTAAGTATAACATCTCTTACATCGACAACATATGTATTGATATCAGAAAAACTATTGTTACACTAACCAGTAATATTAGGATGGGCACAGAAGAAGTCATTTAATTAACAAGCTTTCTCATAATCATCAAAGGTAGAGGTATTATCGTGAAGAAGAGGTTTCCAGAGTTTGGTAATAGTTAATGAACGGTTTCAATATATTTGACTCTGTAGTATTTATTACGAATACGGCGATATTTTACCCAATGAGCATCGCTAAGACAACGTTTGACTTTCTTATGTTTACGTTTCCTAATTAGTCTCGTTCGACATCCGAGGAGCTTCGTTTGATCCGATTGTAACAAATTTGTCGGGAATACACAATTAAGCAATATCAAGGAGAGTGTTTATAAAATTTTTAACAGACACATTGATATCTTCTACTTCAATGAGAGTGTTCAAATTTACTGCATTTTACTTCTCTCTTAACAAAACAGAATGAATCGGCGTAGCTTAGATTAAATCTGTATACTTATCGCAAACGTTTAGTCAGGTCTCGGTGAATAACGAAATTGTTAATATTTTTTAGTTCAAAATCTAAAATATCGAGCTTTTGTTTGAGACTTTGAACATTCAGATGAACAAATAAATGATTTGTATTGGTACCAATATAGTCACTGGTAGTTTTGGAGACGGACGAGTCAGATGTACTTGTAGATAAGGGACCTGGATTTACCTCGACGTCACCAGATAATGTCAAATGTCACTGAATTAGAGCACAATGTAAGTATGTATAACATGATAGATCTACTATACTAAAGACAAAATGGTGAGACGAGTAATTTCTGCAACATTGATCACTGGAGAATATTCATTTACAAATATCAAATATAAACGGATATAGAATAAATGGCAAGAGCCCAATACACAACATGTCAAGGACGGTCACATAAGTAACATAACTTGAGGCTTGTACACAAGTATTTAAAAACTGAGGCACAATACTGTAACAAATCGACAGTCATTTAAGTACCCCAGAAGGAACTTGAAAAAAAGAGCCGTGTGCACGAAGTGTTGTTTTAACAAGACGTGAAAAGTTTGGCATACTTAGCAACAAAGGGAGGAAAAAGGGGGAAAGACATTCAACTGAATGGAAAAAATATGTATATAGGTACAAAGTCATATCAAAGAGAAGAGAATAATACAGGGAATGAACTCTACTGGGGAATCAATATTGCCAATGGTCGAGAACAGAACTCAATAATAGTATAAGAGGAGTATTTACAAGCATATACTGTTTTTAATAAAGAGTAAATGTAATATATTTAAGAGCCATGACTTTTATCCACTGCTTCATATTCATTGACAAATATTTGTCACAATGTCTAGGATGGGAACGTTTGCCAGAACACTTACCCACCTTGGCCTTAAGACGTCTAGACGTCCAAAGCCCCCTGGACTGACCCACAGAACCAAAAGCTACCGGCATATCGGATCCATCAACGGAGTTGATGACCAATGACTGCGACACCCCTACCGAGGCAAGCTCTGAAAGAGCGTCCGAGTGGTCCAAATCGATTCGGCTTTAGAGCGGGCTCATTCGGAGTCTGGCTACTCCTCCCAAGAACCAGACCGAGGTACGACCGGCATATAGACGAACTCCTTACGAGGGGTATTTGGCTATCGTTTTCGTTTAAATTATATACAAAGGAATGAGAATTATTGGAAGACATACATACTAACGTTATGGTAATTAATACTGAAATGAATTTTGATTTAACACACGAGGGCAGAGCTGTCGTAGAGAAAAACGTTAAATTGCACAATTATGGGTTTGAACCTATTGCCTTAGACAAAGTTTGTGCTGCAGTCTTTTTTGTTTATTAAAAGGAAAGGTGTTCAATTTCAATAACAAAGGAGGTCTATGCTTTACTCAAAGTGCAATGTGTGTCTTTTTCAATTATGTGGGAAGCATACGCACAGTGGTCTTGTAAGTTATATTCAATGATGTAGGTACCAAATATACACTGACCTTGTAAGTTGTGTTCAAAGATGTGGGTACCAAATAAACAGTGGCCTTGTAAGCTACATAGTAAACGTTTATTATCTGTGAAAATATTGATTATAATCATAATATGTTATCAACTACAAATGGACACTATTTCCATCCAATAAATAAACACCATTTCCATCCATGAAACATACAAATGATCGAGAATTACATAACGTTAATAATTGTTTCGACAGAACACCATTCAACGCTTTGTTAATGAATCTGTTGCGTCTTCAGTTAAATAATGTATTGTTTTCCCAGCCGATATCTTATACCAGTGGTAACTGTTCAAGACATGTTTACCTGTAGATAGACATGATCTGTGTATCAGTGATTTACACGACATCATGGGTGGTCGGGTGGCACAGTGGTAACGTATTCGCCTTTCACCTCGCCGACCGGGGTTCGATTCCTGGAACGGACGTGAAAAGGTAAGGGGCCACCTGCCCGACCACATGGGTTTTCCCCGGGTACTCCGGTTTCCTCCCACAATAAGAGTCCCATCGCGCGCTTACATCCAGGCTAACAAGAGTAATCAGTGTAAGTTGACATAACTTGTTTCGCATTTGTTGTAAAATAAATAAAGTTTATATTTATATTTTCATCACGTGTCAAAGAATTTCCAGTTTACAAGAGATCCGAGTGGAGTTTTGGCGCCCACCATTATTTTGTCATTACATGTTTTCTAAAAGTTTGATCTCTTCCATTCTATTCTATTTTGTCCTGTTGTTGCTTTGAATTATTTGAAATTTGAATAGTGATAATAATCATTCGTTGTTATATCCAAGATGGTCGCCTGTCGCTTATTTTGTTTTTCTGATCAGTCCCAAATTAAAAGTCCACAACTTACGACCAAGATCTTACATGTATATGTAAAATGTAATGAAAGATCCATTCAGTATCTCTCGCGTAAGAGCCATAACAATCTTTTACAGTCAAAATTCAAGATGGACGCCTATAAGATATCAGAAGAACACAACTGGAAAGGACGAACGATACACGGACGTAGGGCGATTTGAATACCCATCATAAACGATGCAAATAAAGCTGGTAATACGGAAAAGTGTGCATGTACCAGGAATCATCATAATTCTAATAAGTGAGGTAAAACCATATCAATGATTAGATATGTCACTCGGGTGTGACGAACAAGCTTCCACATCCAGGCCGACCTTAACTAGAGGTACGAACATCTGATACAGAACCTCAATAACTAATGTCTGGTCTGGTAATTATATCACACGCCACAATGAAATGGCGCTTTTGCACATGCTAAATTATGTATGACGACTGTCTGAAAGTTAACAATTAGTAACAAATTAAAGGACTAATATAGTGTGATCAAATTGTAGCATCCATTTACTTTCTCATTTGACAAAATGATACAATTCTCATCATATAATTCATTCACTGTGATGTATAATTAAGAAGTAATAGGGTGCAGTTTTCTTTTATTTTTGATGAAAGTTTAGGAATTTTTTTTAAAAAAAATTGGCATTGTAACTAGTCCAAAGTGTAATTCTGGCAATGTAATTAGTCCTACGTGTAATTTAGGTATTCTATTCTAATTAGTCTATTGTGTTGTTTTTGTTACATTTGATTAAATACGTTAGTTCATCTGATGTGAAAATGCTATTAAGTACAAGATTAAAAAATATCGAAATATTTCTAAATTTTCTTAACATACCTCTTGCGATAATCAAACAGTCCTTTCCAGTTGAGCTTAATAATTAAAATAGTATATATTTCATTGCAGACAATATGATAATTCCAATTATTCAACGATACATTTACAGATTTAAATGTTTTAATAATTTTCCAAATATCATTGCTCAAAAAGCAAAGTCACATTTACATGAAAATGAAATAGATAAATAAATAAATAAATAAAAAAGTTTAATTCTGCTAGTTAACCTTGCCTTATCCTGACGAGTTTGTTCTACGTGTTAAACGATAAACTTTAAACTTATATATCCACATCTCACCAATGCTTCCTATTATTTTTACCCGGATTCCATTCTCTATTTCCTATGTCTTCTGATATAGGTCTTTAAGAACATGCTCTCTTCTCTCAAATGCCACGCTGGTAAGGATCGACGACGCAGCGGTGAATGCCTTTATACGGTTACTATTTGGAAATAAAGTACGGCGAATCTCCTGCATTTTAACGTTAAAAAAACATAAAAAGGCACACAGTTTTGAAAAAAATAATTCAGCCTAAGATACCATGGTTACTGAA